CGTCTTATGAATTGGTCAGAACTATGTACAAAATATTTCACTGAATTTTCAATTATCGTCTACTCACATTATTAGGGTCATTACATATAATGAGAATTATAAAGATATTTTCATCAACCAAACAGACATAAATGTGAACATGAAGCTTGTTGAAACTCGTTGATAAAAAGTATCTGTATTTTCATGAAAACGTTAATTTTCTATGATAAGTAGAAACGTCAACTGAGGCACAGATAATGAAGTTACAGTTGAACCGTGCAAGTATTAAGTGCATCGAACCTTCTAATAAGTACTAACCAGGAATAAAATTAGGTCTTGATTTATTGTGAAACGTACTGCGTTTTAGAGGACTTTCAACAAAGTAGTACCAAACACATGTACTAGGTGATTTTCTGTTGTTCGAATAAAGTGTCTACGCATCAATTGTGATTTTGGTTGAACCGACTGATCTCAATGTTTATACAGACCATTCAAAAAATATACTGACAAATTTTACTTTTACTTGTTCACTTGCGCCAGTTACTCCCAATGGAGCATAGGCCGCCGACCAGCATTCCCCAACTCACTGTCCTGGGCCTTCCTTTCTAGTAATAACCATTGTTTGTTTATTCTTCTCATGTCTATCTCCATTTCTCGACGCAATGTGTTCTTTGATCTTCCCCTTCTTCGTTGACCTTCAGGATTCCATGTGAGGGCTTGCCTTATGACGCAGTTGGATGTTTTCCTCAATGCGTGTCCTATCCACTTCCAGAGCTTCTCCTGCCTCCAAATGCCCTGGCAAGGCCGAGAGTGGGGAGAGTCTACTCTCCCTCTCGAAATGCTCTCACTTGGCCAGCGAATATATAGCCTCTGCCAGGGAAGTCCTACTCACTGCCTTCTCGTGGCGGGGGTGTTGTTTACGAAAGTGAGAGGACGAAAAGCGAATGTCTGGCGCTTTAACCGGGTTGGTGGACACGGAGGGTCCACCTAGGGGAGTTGGAAAACCCTGATTCCAAACCAATGGTGCACATGGGCTGGCTCCAGTATCCTGATGGAACGAATGGCGGACGAACCTGTCATTGGTCAACGGCTACCATGGGACTGCATCTCCTCACGATGCTCCACTGCCTTGTGGATCAGACCTTTTGGTCAAAGGCTCGGGGTGTGGCCCCCTAAGAAAACCACCTGCTTCGGTTTGGGCACCCGGGCAGTATCACAGCCCACACACAAATTATTTTGTGTGGCGCATATGTACCTGGTGCCCTTTTGTACCAATATATATGTGTTTAAATAAATAAATAAAACAGAGCTTCTCCCTGATTTCTCGCTTCACTGAATATAATCTGGTTTGTTCTCTACCACAGTAACGTGTTGCTGATAGTGTCTGGCCAACGAATACGAAGTGTTTTGCGTAGACAACTGTTAATAAACACTAGTATCTTCTGTATGATGGCTTTCGTAGTTCTTCAAGTTTCCGCCCCATACAGTAGAACTGTCTTGACATTTGTATTGAAAATTCTGACTTTGGTGTTGGTTGACAATTGTTTTGAGTTTCAGATGTTCTTCAGTTGTAAATAAGCTGCTCTTGCTTTCCCAACACGCGCCTTCACATTTGCATCAGATCCACCGTGTTTATCAATGATACTGCCCAGATATGTAACGGTTTTCACATCTTCCAAAGCTTCTCCGTCAAGTGTAATTCGATTGGTGCATGTTATGTTGTATCGGAGGATCTTGCTTTTCCCTTTGTTTATGTTGAGACCTACTGCTGCTACACTGGTCATTTCCTCCTACATTTGTTGTTGCGTTTGTGATAGAAGAGCCAGATAATCTGCGCAGTCTAAGTTATCCAGCCCCATCTTAGCTGTCCATTGTATCCCATGCTTCTCTCCAGATGTTGACGTCTTCATAATCCAGTCGATCACTAGGAGAAAGAGAAGGGTGAGAGAAGCAGCCTTGTCTGACACCGGTCTTTGCTTCGAATGGGTGAGTGAGTTGTCCTCCATGCACGATTTTGCAGTTTAACCCATCATAGGAATTTCGTATGATATTGACTATCTTCTCAGGCAGGCACGTCGTCGTGTCAAAGAAGCCTCCATTGTGTTTTCCTGTCCACACTACCAAATGCTTTTTCGTAGTCAATGAAGTTGATGTAGAGTGATGAATTCCATTCAATTGATTGTTGCGCAATGATCCGTAGAGTTGCGATTTGGTCTGTACACGATCGATCGTTAATGAATGCAGCCTGTTGGTCTGGAAGTTGAGCGTCTACGGAGTCCTTCGTTCTGTTTAACAACACCCTGTTGAAGACATTTCCTGGTATAGAGAGAAGAGTGATGCTCCTGTAGTTATCACACTTTCTTAGGTGACCTTTCTTTGGTACATAGATATGATGTCCTTCTTTCCAGTCTGTCTGTTGGTATTTGTTCTTCATCCCAAATCATACTGAAGAGAATGTGGAGTATTTTTGCAGTCGCTGCTACATCTGCTTACAGTGCTTCTACTGAAATGTTTTCTGGCCTTACTGCTCTGCCGCTTTTGATTTGTCTGATGGCCATGCTGATCTCTTCAATAGTTGGTGTGCCAACATCGATTGGGAGGTCCGTGGGTGTTCCTTCGATGTTAGGTGGGTTCAGTGGAGCTGGTCGATTCAAGAGTTGATTGAAGTGTTCTACCCACGTGTTTCGTTGTTATTCAGTGTTGTTAATTGCCTTACCTTTCTTGTTTTTCACCGTTCGTTCTTGTTTACGGTAGTTTCCATTGAGTTTCTTTATTATATCATACAATTTTCTCATGTTTTCTTCTGTTGCAGTCTTTTCTGCCATCATTGCTAAATCTTTCACATATTTACGTTTGTCGGTTCTGATGCTCCTCTTCACTTGCGTGTTTGCTTTTGTGTATTCGGCTTGTGCCTTGGCATTTTCTGCTCTTGTTTGTCAGTATCTCGAAAAATTGCCGTAATAAACGTTTGTGATGTTGCCCACCCCGTTGTCCAGTGTTTCCTAAGTTTTAATTTCATCTTGGTGACCAGCAATTAATGATCTTAGGCTATATCAGCTCCTCTTCATTTTCTCACATCATCCATCGTCCTCCTGAACATTTTTTTGATGCAGATATGGTCGATTTGGTTCTGTGTAGTGTGATCCCGTGAAGTCCATGTGGTGTGGTGAATGTGTTTATGTGGAAATATAGTATAGCCTGTGGACAGTTATTGAAGGCACGTAGGTTTGCAAATCTCTCCACATTTTCGTTCCTTTCTCTCAGTCAGTCCATGTCGTCTCATAACGTCTCTGTATCCCGTGTTGTCCATTCCAACCTTGGCATTTAACTCTCTCATCAGAATTGTCAAGTCCTTTGTTGGACACTTCTCCAATTGATCTTTTGTTTCTCCATCGCAATCGTTGGTAGGCTCATAGCTTTGAATGACGTTCATTGTAATGCACCCTTTCTTTGTTTTGAAGGAGGCTTTGATGATTCTGGATGCATGAGATTCCCATCCTATAGGTGCTTTTTGTGCATCAGTGCAACTCTTTGTGTTTGTGGGGCATTTTGTTCTTCATGACCGGAGTATTACAGAAGCTTCCCTGAAGCTAGTCTTTTTTGTCCAGCTTGCGTACAATGTGTTTCACTGATTCCAAGCACCTCTAAGCTGTATCTTTTCATTTCTGCAGCAATGCGTATGGTCCTCCCGGTCTTCCACATTGTACAAATATTCCATGTACCTAAATAAACTGTTGCTCTGGTTGTCAGAAGGGGCACCGGCCTCGTGACTTCCGAAGGATCTCGGTTTTTATCATGAGGCGTCATAATTCTTCCTCCAACTCCCAGAGCAGAGTTTAAATGGTTTGAATTATTTTTCCTGCTGTGCGTTTTTTAGCAAGTCAATTTTCTACGGGATGGGGTCGTCAACCTCATGCCCAACCCTCCTCCTTTAGCCGGGCTTGGGACCGGCATTAGCCAACGTAGGAGCTACAGGCGGAGTTAATGACAATAAGAAGTCCAGCATAAAATGTATTGTGGGCACGCATGTCTCATGCACTCGTTCAGGCAAAGTAATCGGAAGTTTAAATGAATTTGGTGTGGCTTCTTGACATAAACGGAAACCTTAAGTTATATGGGACTCAGTTTAGACATTCAAACAAGCAACGGATAATATATAAACAAATAGATAGACACATGCTCAATTTCATTCATTTGAGTACATAAATGTGCAAGTGAGAAGCGAATAATCATTTATCTACAAAATAGAACAGTGTGTTCAACAATGTTAAATATGACGAAATATACTTGCATACAGAGTCACAGAATAGTTAATCGGATTAGAAAAAATTTTTGCTTGAAAGGCAAGAACGAATTGAATATTAGTGTGATTTAGCCTATTGAAATTTGCCTAATGGTGCCGGAATCGACGTCTCTCCAAAACTAAAATTTTAGTGAGATATAATCAATATATATCATCTAATAAATTTTCTTTATACTACATTCAGTAGAATATCATCTTAGAGTAGAACTAGAATTAGCAATCAAATTCACTTCTTGATAAATGATTATGACAGTTTATTCAAATTCATTTAATAGAAGACTTGGCTTTATACGGTTATTTCTAAAGACCGATATTTTTTTGTTTAAACTCCTGGAACTAAAATCTTTAGTCTCCAATATTAAGGATAGTTATCGACTTATCACATTTATTATAATACTAGCTGGTAAAGCAGAATGCATTATTAACAATACTTGGTGATTGATTTAATTGATCAACACGTTGTGAGTATAAAAATTAATTCACGAAACAGAATTTGTTGATTTTTGTTGTTTGTTCATACCAACACTTTACAATTTAAACTTGAAGATATTCTACAAGACATTCAGTATGTTTAATTACCGATCATTGTTGAATTGATTACGTTGATGATTGGTGTATAGTTAGAACATTTAGGAATTCAGGAGGTAGGTAATTACCTTAAGTTATGTATTTAAGTAAGGGCAATCGTTAAGTGTATTAATAATTATTTGTTGTCAAAATGTTCTCCAACAAACAAGTTAATAAGGTAACAACAATGAATATTCTTGGCGTATAATGTGATAATTTTATTTGTTAGATTATCTTCCCTTATTCAATTTATCTGTGTATATTACTGATCATCAGTGTTGAATGTCGTAACATGAATAAACATTGTGAGTAATTCGGTTTAAAACGTCTATATTTGCCAAAATTAATGTTTACAGGTGATAGGAAATCTAGAAATAGACCTATTCTGGAACCAGATGAATTATCAATAATGGTGGATAAACCAGGTAGATAATCATCTATCATACATTTAGTAATTTATACTATTCTGTCGAGTATGTTCAGAATGTAAATTTTATCAAAATTGTAAACGAATAAATTTATCGAATAAGTTTAATTCGTATAGTTGATAGTACACGATTACGATGAAAAATTAAATCAAAGTTTCATACTTCATTTTGTATTGTTTGTTTGAATCTTCCCATTGAGTTTTAGGACTGCAATCGATCAGGCATACATGCATCCTGTGAGGAATTTATCGATATTGCTTTAAATCAAAAACATTGTAAGCAGAGATGGATGGTGGCTAACAGTGGAATTCAGGACGCGTGTTTTATCCTATTTGGGACTCGTCAGCTAAATTAACCTGCATCCCGGAGTGAACATCAATTCTGGGATATAGGTTTTTTCCAGCTGAAGAGTCCCAAATAGGACGGAAACGAGCTTACCGGATTTCACCGCTAGCTACCATTCATATTTGCGTATGAAGTTTTATACTATTATCCCCTTTCACTGATATGTTTAGTCCACTGTGTAGAAGTTTATACTTCATTGAAAATTCTAGTGTCACACAGTAATTCAGATATGAGAGCATATATTATGCTCGCATATCAGAAGATGAATCAGTGGATTAAGTGTTATATATATATATATATATATATATATATATATATATATGTATATATATATATATATATATATATATATATATATATATATATATATATTGCAATATCTATTTATGTTCATTATTATGGATATTTTGTTCAGATACTAAGACATGCTGTTCTTGAAACCTTTGTACTATTCATCATCATATTTCAAAGTCGATTGATCCTTCTTGTTTAATGACATCAGTTAACAATTATTTATAACTAAACAGTGATTATTAAATGTTTTATCTTGGTACCTGACAATTTACTGCATATAGTACTTTATAAATAACATATTTCAGAGGCCTATAAATAATACCACACCAACAAATTTCAACTGATGATTAAAAAGAAATTGTTTAACATTGATATTAGAAGTTTATTGTTTACTGAATAACTTCCATAAATTTAATTGTTTTCACTTTATTAATATTTGAATTATGAACATGCTGCACCGTGTTTACCTATCAAATTAAACTCAGGATCTGATGAGATAAATAATAAGGGAATTCCGATGGCAAATGATGAAATGAATGATATACCGATACGATTTTTTGGTTGAATTGGGTCGATAGAATGAATTTATCCTTATGATTAATTTTTCTTCAAATGTAATTTATCTTTATTCAGGTTGATAAAAAAAATATAATGACATACTATTAATATTTTCTTAATAACTCTGAAAATGAACTAATGTGATATGATTTTCTTTCGAAACTGTGGTTTATTAGTTTAAAATTACTGTCTTCCTTAATCGATACTTTTCACAGTCTATGCGTTTTTGAGTATTTAAGTATTGATATTAATGTTTTCGTCCTGTATTGATAAACTTCTACTGAAGTTTGTTGTTAAGTACCAACTTTTAGATCATTTAGTAATTTAGTCAAAATCAGTTTCGTGCCTTAAAATATCAAAATCAACACTTAACACCTCCAGAAGCCTTTAATGTAGTCTTTAAATAAGAGCCATGGCAATCCCAAAACTTTCGTCAATTCGCTGAGTCAGAGCACGAATACTAGGGATGGTAAAGTAAAATCTTGTTGCACACCAGTTTTCACAGCTTTTCATTCAAAGAGATCACTGTTCACTTCTACTCTCTTTCTTCGATCACACAGGAAAGTCTCGATCTGCACTTATTTTATATCTTTTGTTGCGAAGTTAGAATATTTCAAATCCTATATGGGTCTGTTTATTACAAAGGTTTCTAAAATCTATGCATCACCTCTCAGTATTCTCTCACAAATCATCGGTTCGTGTGATAATTAGAAGTATTTGAATTATTATACGAGCAAGGAATTCCTGAAATAACACAATTTAAGTCAGGTGGAACCAGATGAGCACAAACGAACCTATAGTATTTGGAATTCAAAGTCAGGCACACATCAAGTACAAAAAAGTCATTAGTTCATACAAACACCACAGATCGTCAACCAAGAAGTGATTTAACGGAGAGCGTATAAATCTGATTTGAGCAGGTCTGGTATTCTCACGGGTCTAAGTTGCTTATCCCTTTGTTATAACTTGATGATATACTGATAGGTTAGTGATATGACTATCGGTTTTGATCGCATAAGATTGCCAAATCAAAAGTCAGAAGCGATGAGGTTGGACGACATATTTAATAGATTATCAATATATCTCGAGTCCCGTTCATAAGCGACAATTTCTGACTAAATTGTGACAGTGAGTTGTCGGAAAAGGTTCAACTAGATTGATTTCTGAGGTAGAAAAACTTCTGTTAACCTACTTCTATCGTCATAGTGAAGAACCTGAGGTGACTTGATCACAGTTTTTTAATTACTTAGTGATAAATTAGCACTCGACTTGCGTGCACTTTTCTTGTCTTATAAAATATGAAATTTACGGGTATTTCACTGGGTGGGTGCGATTCAATAATAGGTGTTACTGGCAAAGTGTTATCAAACTACAATACCTGTGGTATTTTCATTGGTGAGCCTAACGTGATTTGGTACACCAACCTATAAACTGAGTCTGTTCCTTTTTGGAATTACATAAATCACTGCTTTATTTTAACTTTTATGTATTGTAATATTTTTTCCGAGTTTTTGGACATATCATGCCGTGATCACTTTTTCTTCGTTCACTCTCTTTCAGGCTATTGAATGTCCTAGTGGGGTCCCCCAGCGCTCAATACTAGGACCTCTTCTCTTCTTGATTTACATTAACGGTCTTCCACAACAAGTTTCATCTGACTTATTGCTTTTTGCTGATGATGTAAAACTTTGGAGAGAGATACATAACCATAAGGATATACTAGCACTTCAGAAGGATCTGACTCGACTTCAAAGTTGGGCAGACGACAACAGACTTACCTTCAACACTTCAAAGTGCAAAGTAGTCCATCTGCAACATGTTGCAGACTATAGTTACAACTTAGGGAATTTCTCTCTAGAAGTTTCCCACGTCGAAAAGGATTTAGGAGGGTTGGTACCCTACGACCTAAAGTCGTATTCGAACTGTGACAAAAACACCTTTCAAGCAAACCTTGCACTGGTAACATTCAAGCGCATTATTGGCCAGTTTGACGGTAGAACCTTTCACATAATCTTCAACAGTTTTATTCGCCCCCATTTAGAGTATGGAAACAGTGTTTCCTCCCTCCCTCCAAAAGGATAAGGACACTCTGGAACGTATACAACGTCGAGCCACGAAATCAGTTCGGGGGCTCAAATTCTAACCTTATGAAGAGCGCCTCCAATCACTCAACCTTTACCCGTTAGAGTACAGGCGTCTTAGAGGTGAACTTCTTATGATTTACAGTATCCTTAACACTTCTGGTCATCACCTTAAACATCTTCTTAAGCTTAGTCACAACACCAACCTAAGAGGTGACACCCAAAAACTGGAGACTCAACATAGCAGGACAGACTGCAGACACAACTTCTAATCCGTAAGAGTTGTCAAGTGCTGGAATTGGCTGCCGACTGGGCTAGTACAAGCGACTTCCCAGGAGTCCTTTAGAAGGAAACCTGACTTATTCTTAAGAACTGAGGATAACCTATTATTTTGATTTACCAAATTCTTTTTTTCCTCTATTATCGTTAATATACCTAGGTTCTTGCCAGGAGGTATTGGTGATCCACTGCTACTAGACACGGAAGCCCGTTAAGCGAAAGCTTCTTCTATTCCGTCCTCAACCATTTGAACCATTTGAACTAATGCCCTCCTGGCAAGACAACATAGAAGCCTGGTTCTGCTACGCAGAGGCTAATTTCTATGAGCACGGAATGACTGATTCACTCAAACAGTTCCTCGCGGTTGTAAAGACACTACCGCGCGGATTCAACAGGTGCGTCACATCTATATGTTTACTAGTGATGTTTCGGGACCTTACGAATGATGACCTATTCAGACAACTTTTCTTGTCTCAACTCCCTCAACAAGTGCAAGCAGTACTTGTCTCGTTTTAAAACGACACCGTGGACGAGCTGGCTGCATTTGCTGACCACATCCTCGAAAGCACTATGTCATCTAATGCCGAAGTTTTTTCAGTCAAAGGAAAACCTCGAACGACACAGAATGACATTATGGAGCTATGTCATACACTGACACGCTATGCTAGATTTCGTAATGGCCGTAAACGGTCACTTACTTTGCGAAGAAGCACTTTAGGTAGACGATCTGTCTCTAGATCACAAGAAACAGATAACCTTTACTGGTGCTTGTATCATAACCAGTGTGGGAAGTCTTCCAGAAATTGCAGAAAACTGCAATTACCCGAACTCAAAGTTGACCGACGCGAAAAACAATTCAGGAAACTTCCCAGCCGGCACGCGTTAACGGCAACTGTAGCCTGCAAACACACCCGTCTGTTATACGTCACAGATGTGATCATGAAGTTCGCTACCTCGTCGATACTGGCGCAGAAGTTAGCGTTCTTCCCGCAAATTCTAACGTCCGGCTTCATGATTCTGTTTTAAACTTACAGGCGGCAAACGGAAGATCAATCGCCACACATGTTAAAAGGTACGTCTACCTTAACGTGGGTTTACTCAAACCCATCCACTGGATTTTCACGGTTGCAGATGTTTCTATGCCAATCATTGGTATAGACCTGCTACAACACTACGATCTACCCATTGACACACGCAAACGGAAGTTAGTAGACGGAAACACTGATTTATCTGTTTGCTTAACTCATTTTTCCGGTTGCAAGGTGTCCCCAGTTACAATTATGCACACCATATACCCCTTATATCAGCCATTACTCGATAAGTGCTTAGGGATATGCCAACCGCAACCGAAATTGCCGTTCGTAACCAGCAATGTTACGATAAGGACCGCGGTCGCCAACTCTAGCTTTGGAATAATGACTTTCTTAATTAAGGCTACTCTAGACTTATGATAAAGCAGCACGCATTGTGTAGGTTGTCGCTGTGGACTGATACGTTATAGGCAACCATAGCATGCCCAATTTATGATGGGTTACTGGTCAAGGGGAAATCCACCACATCATCATTCATACTTTCCTCTTTGATACTGTATTTTGAATCTGTTTGGAAAAGTAGGGCTTGGTTTACCTACAAGCGTCGAAAGTGTACTGCGAACTCGCGACAATGTAGAACCAGAGTTCATCATCACTACAACATATTAAGACCCTGGATAACCAACTAATCTACTAAAGTACATTGAGCTAGGGTTATCCAATGTATAGATGAATAATAATGGTTTATTAATATCTAGCAATTTGAATAAACAATTATGCCCTACGTTAGGCCCCGTTGTTTCTCTTGGGATTGATGATGCCTTCATGGCCGGTATTTGTAATAAGCCTTCAGGCAATTTCATTTATGATTTCCCAATATATACAGTAGGGAAACTTTGGGCTTTATGGTCAAAAGTCTAACAGTTATCTTTCTGTCGAGTCAGTCAACGTCATGCGTGACTCATAGGCTCATTCCGAAGTTTGGGTTAACTGTTAGTTGTGGTAGGCGTGTAGTTAGAGGACGTCGTCTTATCGGATTGATGGCAAATGTACTTTATGGACTGATTGAAGATTTACCTAGAGTCAAGCTATTCATCATCATGGAAAGTTCGATTTTGGGATAATAAACATTAACATAGTGTCTGATTTCCCTTTGGACACTATGTTTTGGTCTACTAAGGAGTCGCTAAAAATATGATTACTTTATAAATAGGAATGTAAAGAAAGTGTTATTATTACCATTAATAAATCCGTCCTTCAATAGTGTACCTAGTAATCCCGGAGTATCAAGTGTCAATATACAAACTGATAGAAATCCTATATGTTAATAGCATATCTTGTAAAATCGTACTAGTGGTTTTTTCGTTTGTAAAATAAATCTACCCGCAAACAAAATGTTCAATCTACTATTTCTATAGTATTGTTTGTTGTTTTCTATCTTATTCTACAATTCAGTATCTGATGTTCTTGGGTACGTTAGTTAATTGTGTATTAAGATTGTACTATCATCACTTGTTCTGAATCACTCAAGTGTACTAATACTGGTTGAAGACCTTGGGAATCCCTTGCTGTTAAAATAATATACCGAAATATTATATGGCTGGTTTGCGAGCTTTCATTGTCGGTAGTACTGGCGAAACAGGAAAAGCATTAATCAAAGCCTTAGCTAACGACACAAGATACAGTTCTATCAAATTAATTCAAAGGCGTAAAACAGACGTTGATTATAGTTTTGAAAATAAAGATTCTGAAAATCGTTTCACTCAGATTATTATAGATTTCGACCATTTAGATGATTACCAAGAAGTATTTCAAGATACTGATGTGGGTTTTTGTGCTCTTGGGACAACCTTGAAAAAGTCAGGGAAGGAAAAAATGAGGATGATAGACCATGACCATGTAATTCATATTGCAAAGTTAAGTTCTGCAGCCGGCTGTAAAGAATTTCATCTTGTCAGTTCAAAAGTAAGTCATGAATTTTGAGACATGCAAAATTTTGACAAAATATTACTAATTGTTTATAGTTTCATTTCTCACTTATTTATTGCCAAATACCAGTGCAAATTTACACCAAAGTGTAAAGTGACATGAGACTTCTGATGGCAAAAAAGAATTAGTTATTTATTTCCTGCAATTGATCGTACTTCACCTAGTATCTGTAGACAGATAAGCAAACAAACAGCAACGTAGTTTGGCCGTGACTCGTGTCCCTAAACCAAATCAATGAGCTAAATTTTTAAACTTTCCCAAAGCCAATGACCTAAGTGATCAACAGGACAGTGGAGAAAATTAGTATTTATGCTCATATTTCAGTGGCTGGAATAGATTTGTATTCATTTCATTCTTTAAAGGGTTTTAATTCCGTATGTTCTGTTGATTTTCTTTCTATCTAATAAGGACACTTCGCGTGGGCATTCCGTTAAGTTTAGTCACTGTTAAATGAATGTTTCCTCATTAACATCTTTAAACTATAGACTTTTTTGAACACCCTTGTTATGAACTCGAGGTTGATAACAATAACATGAATATATTTTGTTTTCTCTTCTAGACCTGGAACATCTTATTCTAATTTGCTTACTTTCCCTGATTTTCCAGATATCCTTTAAATTTCTGTTGACTTTCTTGTGTTGCTTTGTATAACGTACAATAGATTTAGTATTTTCAAAAGTTCTACGTTATATATAAATAGTGGTTTGTTATTAGGACGGGTTAACTGAGGTATGCTGTTCAAAATTGATTCAGTTTTTATAGGTTTCATTATTTCTTATCGTTATCAAAATTTAGTATGTGTTTTTATACGCGTGAAAATTTCTTCAACTTTGATTTGGGCATTTTTTCCCACAATGTTTCAATATTTTAAAATTCTATCAACTCTTCAATACTTAAATTTTTCTATCAAACATAAATCTTACCGGAATCATTTTTTATGTAAGCCTACTTTTCCGTATATTACTGATATGTTTGTGTTTTCAACTATTCCTTTAATAATGAAGAGAGGATTTCTAGATGTCAGTACTCGTTTTATCGGGGAGCTAGTTTAAAAGTGATAGAAGTCTCAGAGTAGTCCAATAATGACACAATCGAACATCATTGAGTATTATCATCTAATTCATCCAGATAATTAAGGTTTTTGTAAATAAGTGTAGTAATGTGAATTATTACGGTATCATGGTGCTAAAAACAGTATTCATTAGTCAAATGTTGTTCAATAGGTCCTTAATAATTTAGTCAACTATGATCTGCCTTGTAATATGAAATCTTGTATACGTTATGCTTAATGTTTGAAGCTGCATGATATACAGCTTGTGATTATAAAATAATATCCATATAATGTTCTAATTAACAGAAAATTGAGTTCTCGATATTTTAAGCGTTAGTGTAAGTTATTTCTTCAGAGAATAAACTGAATAACCGTATTAAATTAGCACAACTTTAAATGGTACATTTGGGAAAATAGAGTACCTAGTATAATCAGCAAAGGTCTTTCCATATCAACGTCATGTCGTTCCGGTCAAAGTAAGTTTTGTTCACGATATAATTGTGTGTATTTGTGTATACCCTAATGAATGTGAAGAAATGCGATATTTTCAATGTGAAAAAGTAGATTTAAAGCTGTATGTGTATGTGGAGTAAATATAACTAAGTTTGGATAATTAGTCAATTATGAACTAATACTTTGCCCTTACTTTATTACTGAACAATAAGATTTAACACTATATAAAAGAGCCTCAAACACGCCTTGCTTTATGATCGAAGAAACTTTGCTAAATTATTCTGATATTTTAAATATTGATCTTCATGGTTGTCGAAAATAGCTAGTACTACTATAGGTAAAATAACTTGAATATTTTCGAGTTATACATAATTATTAGGAGAGATTTTAACTACTTATAAACGAACTGGAATGGTGGTTAAGCCATTCAACTTTCTATCATTAAGCCCCGTGTACGAACTCTACTCTATCTACTTCAGTCTAGGCAACTGAATAGTATCACTAGTCTTCACACTTCGAATATGGCCCATACCTAGATACCCAATAAATTGATTTATTTAAGTCCACTTTTCTTTACAAACAAATTAAATAAAAAACAACTTTCGAACTCATCACTCTAGTTGACAGTCAAATGTATTGTCCATTCTTTATTTAATCATAATCTCAACAAAAGGTTCCTTCATTTTTTGTTTAAGAATGATTATTTACTTAAGTTTGTCTTATCTTTCTATTGATGTTTCGAAATGGTTTTTTCTGTTGTTTTTGTCCAGGCAGCAAACAAAACCAGTATCTTTTTTTATCTTCAACTTAAAGGTGAAACAGAATCAGATTTAATATCACTTAATTTATTTCCTAAATGTCTTGCAATCTATCGTCCAGCTACATTATTATGTTCACGTGTTGAATCACGACTAACGGAAAGAGCTTTTCAAATTTTATTAAAACCTTTCGCATATCTTGCACCTACATTATTGACAACACCAATTGATATCCTTGCAAAGGCTATGACCAATGCTCCATTTAGTTCCAAATTAAAAATTGATTTATCTGTACAACAAGAAAAATCACTACCCAAAAATGTGTATATTTTCGAAAATTCTGATATTTTCTTACTTGCATCAGAAAACAAGGATATATAATTATTCCATTGGAATTGTGCTCTAACTTTGAAGTAAGTTCTTATTCCATTTTGCTGACATTTTACATCATGCCATTGACATTTTATTGAATTCATGAATCCATGGATTTAATTCACTTATCTTAATATCTTTCCAATTGGGTAGTATTCGTAATTCTCACATATTGATTGTAACCTATATTCGGATTCACAAACTATTTTGCACGTGGTCACTACGATACAGTTGTTTTTACATTCTTACTTTTTTCGTTCACAAATATTCTGCGTTCAATATGTTTGTTAAATTGGTTTGTTTTTCATTATAATAGTTTTATTGACTGAAACATTTCTTGTTATAGATCAACAACTACCTGTCAGTCTTTCTGCCGTTCTTGTTTTCTTATCATTTTTGTTACGCATTATTTACACGATTTATAATCAAACCTGTACATCCAGTCGTTTTTTAAAAAAATACGAAACTGTAATACGGTTTGTTGGTTTTTGTTTACGTAATGATAAATTTCAACTTTAAATGTTTAATGTAGTTAGTATTCTATTTGAAATACTAGATGGGGTATTAGCTTCGTGTACACTTTATGGGGACTGATTAAGAAGTATTTCGAACAATATGTGGTTGTTATTTGAACTCAAATATACGGGTTGAGTTTACATCTCCAACTAAATCGTTGGGGCTCATCGTATCGAATCCAATTAATTAAAGAAAGCGTCCTGGAATACGATTTTGTGTGATATACCGGGCTAAGGTGAACAGGCCAGTATTATATCCGAGTCATTTACTATTTGTACTTGGAAACGAAGAAACACTACAGTACCCACGATACGAAGTAAGAACACAAAAGACACTGGTACAAGTGAAGATTTATTGACTCTAAACAAATACGACCCTAGTCACACAGCACACATCGATGGTGCGAGATTCTAAAGTCCTAGCTAAGGAAATCTGTTTTCCTATTTCGCATAATGTTCGGACGTTAAAAGCTACATGTAGTTTAGAGCGTGGTTTCAGGATGCCAGGAATATCGTTCCGCGTACTCGAATCGTTCGCCCTAGAGGTGCGATGTGATAGTTTTTTCACTGTAGTTTTAAGCATTTTGCTTATCTAAATATTTATCTTTCGACCATAACCAACTTCACTCATATATATGTCTTAACATGTCTTACATAATATGTCTTACATAATTGTCATATCTTGCAGGTTTGTGTCCCAATCAATATATGACGTAACTATGCCGCAAATTAGAGTATAGTGAATTATCGACCGGACCAACGACGCATAAAACCCGTACAAGCAGTCTAGAGTACTTATTGGTACTTGCTTCCCTCATAGCTCTGCTTGTTAAGTCCAGAACACCAATAGCAACCTCTGTGATATGAATCGTATATTTCAGATATACTGAGTTTATATACAAGCCAAACAGACCACATCGTACCATAAAATAGAAAATAACATTTGTACAAGCTTTAGTCATATGTGGCTGTGAATGTGGGAGACTAATTGATAGACTGGACATAACTCAAGAATGGTAAATCGTATAATAATAGTTCATGGGTCAACATAAAGCTTATGATGAGAGGAACACGAATACAAATAGTTTAGTTACTTAACAACTATACAATAAAATATATGTATAGTACTAGTTCAGAAATAGATTCCAACAGTTACCATTCATTATTCTCATCGGGATATAACAATAATCCACTTTCGAAAAAAGTCCATGAAGTCAGTTTAATACTTAATGCTATTTAGTCTAAGTGAATTTCAACTGTGTAATGTGTGAGGAATATACTCACTGAAGTCATTGGAAGGTATTTACTTTATATTGCGGATTGATCGGAGTTAGACCTAAAAATCTATTGGATCTTGGCTCAATGGTATGAAAGTTGAGCATTCGTACACAAGTTGAAAGGTCCTGTGCTCAATCACCAGTAGTTGGGTCATGAGTGCACACTTCTGAACAGTTCTATACTATCCTGAAATGGCCATCCAATGCATCCAGTTTTTCAATGGTTGTCTAACTCAGATCGTAATGTCAACAGAAGTATATTATCGTCAGTCAAACAAATATATTTTTAATAATTTCATTTATTCTGTCTGTAACTTATCTCATTGTGTTGATGTAGCACAAGAATTTACGTAAGATAAAGTAAAATGTCTTGTCATTACTTTATAAACATTTGGTTGATATATGTTATAAGTCTTAAAATTTATACGATACTAGCGTGATTGATTCAGAAAAGAAAAGAAAATAGATGTCGGTTATGCAAATAATCAGTAAAATCGTTGAAATGATAACCTAAAACTACTGTAAGATTTTGCAAAAAAAATTTTCAACTATTTTACCTAGTCTCAATATATGAAAAGAAAAAAACATTCTCATCCAACTAACAAACTATCTTCAACATGGAGTTGTGGTGATTGTTAAGTTTTGAATTGAGATCATCAATCGATCAGTGTCAGAACACTATTTACAACCTGGAAGCACAAAAGAGACTATCTATCCTAACAGTTTTATTGTCTAATTAGTAAATAGTTTGAGTTTCTATGTGAAGCTATCACCGGTAAAACTCAATCATTGTCAAGAGTCAAATATGTTTGACCAAATTGAGAAGACTGAAATATGGACCATCGAGATTCGACTGAATGGATCTTAAGTTAACATTCCTGATACAAAGGTTGAATTGTAGCAAGCCTTTGTATAACCTATATTTCAAGGTCACATAAATAAAATTAAGAAAAACCTGTTATATTCTCAATACTCACTGTAATTATGACATTCGACGCATTATGTATACGTATGTGTCAGTTTGATAGAACGCATGTCTGCATCCTAACACAATAATGTTACTCACGTATTGATTTGCACCCCTAAAATACACATACATTCTTTACTTTACTCATTCACTTTCCGGTATCCTTATCTATCGCGTGCTTGTGGATTTAATCAATTATTAACAATACATACTTTCCCAACATAACTGGCATTCTGGCTTTTGAATATCCTGAAGTGAATTCACAGCAACACCAAGATAACTAGCCTGCTAAGAAAAACAGTCAATAATTCATTACATGTGACAATCAAAGTGAGGGAATAACCTCTACAGAATATCCTGGGTTCAGTAACTATCAGGGTTATGTTAATACGAGCAGACAAGAGTTCGGTTGCTGTTACAATCATCTGAAGAATTAGTCACTTAAAACCCTCTAATGGTTTAACTAAAGTGATAATTTTATAACAAACAAAACAATGACTATAGTAACGTTACAATAAGCCAAGGAAATCAATCAGATCCATTTACTAACAATTCAACCAACATGGATTTTATTCTCTATGTACAAGTGGTTAACTATAGATAGGGAAAATCTGACTTTCACAATTTCGACCTTCAATCGTAAAAACATAGGAATCAGTCTTTGAGAAGCTGGGAGTACACCATCTGAAAGATAGTTTTCAGAAATTTTTGATATTTTCTAAAAATATGTATCATTTGTCTACCAATAACGATCTGTTTGAAAGATATTAGGGAACTGGTTTCATGTCTTGGTATGAACACCAACAATGTGGTGCAGGTACATGCAGCCTGGAAATGGATTAATTGTTAGAAGGGGTATCGGCTTCCTAACTTCCGAATAATTTCAGCTTTCATCATGAGGCATCATTATTCTTCTGAATGAATATTCTTCAACTCCCAGGGAAGAGTTTAAATGGCTTAACTTTTTTTTTCTGGTTAGCGTTTTTTTTTAACAAGGTTGTCTACAGGATGAGGTTACTGACCCCACGTCCAACCCTCCTCCTTTACCCGGTCTTGAGATCAGCAGTAATCCTAGAAGGGCTACAGACGGAGTTAATAACAATTTACTGAATGGTAACTGTTTTGGATTACAGGACAGAGCAGAAGTGTAATTTTATTATTATTAAAACAGTAGAAATAATAAAAAAATAGGGCGTTATTTTACTTCTTACTGACTTTGATAGCTCAGATTTAAGAGACTTAAAACAGATATATTGAAAGATATTTATGGATAGATTTTAACATTCGAACGAAATTTTCTTTCTCTAGTCAAGCGTTACAATATTTTCTGAATTCACATTGTCAAATTTGCATATAAAAAATAAAAAACATCATAACTTCTATGACAACGAATCACGTATTTTAATGTAAAATGTATGAGCTCGGCAACTTCTAGTAGTGTTCGCGTGAAGGATAAATTAAGTCTGGAATCCGTTTAAAGACGATATACATTTCTCATTCTTGGAACTGATTGTACCTTAAATTATGAGTTCAGATGCAATAAATTTGGACTGAACCTTTAGTGAAAGAGGAGGCCCAAGCTAACTTTAATCTTTTTTCTTCAAAATACTTGATAAACTACCTTTTACATTCAATGAAGCAATTCAATACGAAGAAACTCCTAGTTACAGCATCCGTAACTCTTTGTCACTGGTGAAACAATCTCATACTAAATCTCCTCTCCATGTGGATTACTTTACCAGTAAATTTTCCAGACTCTGGAATAATTTACCACAATCTGTCTATGAAATAAAATCACTCCTATCCTTCGTTTGCTGCATCGATGCTTACTTGTCCTATAAATAAAAAAAATAATATATTTGTAATATCCCAATAAGTAGAAAAATTAGATTTCCTGACGTTTCGTGACTTAGTACAAACCACTTCTTTAGAAAATAAGTAACCAAATTAAAATCAATCCAAGTTTAGATAGCACAATGGAACAATAAAAATATTCTCCTCCTTACTCTCGGCCGTACCGAAACATTCGGGAGCAATTACAAAGTATAGTAGTTAGTTATGATGTATGAACTTCATGTATAAGTTATAAAATGAAAGTCAATTACTTATTAAAATATGCAAAAAAGTACGATTTTAATAAAGTTGCAAATTTTTTAATAGTATTAAGAATATCTGTACAAATATCGTATTTCTGTGCTGAATATATTAAAATTTAGTGAAAACAGTTTAGTTCATTTTTGTATTGGTTGCTTGAATCTTCCCATTGATGTTTAGGACTGTAGTTGATCAGTTTCTTATTGGTATATATGCATCCTATGGGGATTGCCTCTATATGGCCATAATTCACAAGCATTATGAGCAGAGATGGATGGTGGCTAGCAGTGGAGTTGAAGACCCATGTTTCGTCCTATTTGGGGCTCGTCAACTGGATGACCTTGCATCTCGGAGTAAACATTAACTCTGAAATGTAAGCTCATTCGGCTGATGAATCTCAAATCAGACGGAACGCGCGTCCTGGATTCCACCACTAGCCACCATCATCTCAGCTTATAATGTTATTAAGGACAGGTTTGAAAAGAATAACTAAGTAACGGGATCAATGATGAAGAGAAAAGGTATCAAAATCTAAAGTAAACTAGACGAAAGACAATTATTAAACAGTGAACCAAAATAAGAAATTGAGTAAAAGATATTTTAAAGAAACGGATAGTAGAACTGAATAATCGTTAATCTTAAGGAGTTGGCTAATTCTAAAATCCTAACAGC